GGGGGGAGGGAGAGACACTGGTGGTCCAAAATAGCAAGAAATCACCAGTGGAGGCTACGTGGGGATTAAGGCTCAGTATCCATGAGGGGAAAGGGAGAGAAAGTCTTTAGGGCTAAGCCTGAAGCCACAGGAGCTCTGTTTTCACATTTCTACATCTTCTACGTTCCATCGTCTTTTTGTGAATTTGTTTGGATTTTATTCTCTGGGAATGTACAGTTATTCTAGGAAATGATGACAAACTACTCAGTGCCAAGAAGACAATGGAACCTATAAGCCGCTTAGCTTCCCTTCAGGTTGGACTGCTCTCTCTCTCTCTCTCTCTCTCTCTCTCTCTGGTAGGGATCTGGAGTGGTGTGTGTTGGTGTCTCTGGCTGTTTGCTGTGGCTATGTTTCCTTGTAAGGTGCGTGTATGAACATCTTCCCCACAGAGCCTGGTGATGCTAAGAATAACTCGAGCTAAGTCACCCAAGCCCTGATCAGAGTCCTAGAGATTTCAGTTAGATTCCCAGCGTACACACTTATGAACACCACTTCTTTTCTGGCCAGTCCTGGGTCTTGAACCCAGGACCTGGGCCCTGTCCCTGAGCTTCTTTCGCTCAAGACTAGCTCTCAACCACGTGAGCCACCGCCCCTTCGGGTTTTCTGGTGGTTCCTTGGAGATCAGAGTCTCACAGACTTTCCTGCCCAGGCTGGCTTTGAACCATGATCCTTAGATCTCAGCCTCCTGAGTAGCTAGGGTAACAGGCATGAGCCACTGATGCCGACCCCATATTACTTTTTAAGACTATGGTAGTTCAGGGGAAATGTTAAGAATTGATACCAGTGTTTGTAACTTATAAAGTGGAATTTTATTTTTTCCCAGTCCTGGGGCTTGAACTCAGGGCCTGGCCGCTGTTCCTGAGCTTCTTTTGCTCCAGGCTGGCACTTGAACCACAACGCCACCTCTGGCTTTTTCTGTGTGTGTGGTACTGAGGAATCGAACCCAGGGCTTCACGCATGCTAAGCGAGCACTCTACCACTGAGCCACCTGCCCAGCCCAAAGTGGAGTTTTACATC